ACCTCAGGTCAGAAAGCGGTGATCTCATGGCAATTAGCTCAGAGTCCTTTATTCAGGGAGGCCGAGTCCTCTCGGGAAGGGCTGGGGGGGGGGGCGGGGGAGGTTTGCCAAGTTCCCGAACCTGCCAAAACAAAAAAAAGGCCCTGCAAGGCGGGCAGGAAGCCATTCTAGCAGAGAGCTGGTGAATGCAAAACACACATAGCTGCACACGCTAAAGCTATTTTTGGTCACCCGCAATACTATCCCTTGCTTTTTCCTGTAGGGCTAGCTGCAGTCGTTAACAGTCGTCGACAGGTTTATCATACCCATTGAGCCAATCACCCATTTCCTACTACCCTTCTAAGAAAAACCCCACCCCACCCTCCCACGATATATCAGGGTCTGGTGGCTTCTGTTTCAGTGTATCTGAAGAAGTGTGCATGCACATGAAAGTTTATACCCAGAACAAATTTAGTTGGTCTCTAAGGTGCTACTGGACTATTTTTTTAAAAAAATTATTTCAACATATAGCTAGGGTTGCATTAGAGTCTCCAGAGAGCTGCATCAGGACTGACAAAAGGCAATGAACTTTCCTTCCTGGGAGGTTTTTAAGCAGAGGTGAGGTGGCCACCTGCCAGGGATTCTTGAGATGCAATTCTCGGGTTGCAGGGTGTTGGGCTAGAGATGACCCTTTGGGTCCCTTCCAACTCTACAATTCTATGGAAAGGAAGTACTTCTTCAGGCAGCTATGGAATTACTGCAAGAGGTAATTTATTATTTGTACCCCAACCCACTCTGGGCAGCTTCCAACAAAGATTAAAAATGCATTAAAATGTCACACATTAAAAACTTCCCTGAACAGGGCAGGCTTCAGATGTCTTCTAAATGTCAGGTAGTTGTTTATCTCTTTGACATCTAATGGGAGGACATTCCACAGGGTGGGCGCCACTACCAAGAAGGCCCTCTGCCTGGTTCCCTGTAGCTTTGGTTCTCGCAGCGAGGGAACCGCCAGAAGGCCCTCGGCGCTGGACCTCAGTGTCCGGGAGAACGATGGGGGTGGAGATGCTCCTTCAGGTATACTGGGCCGAGGCCGTTTAGGGCTTTAAAGGTCAACACCAACACTTTGAATTGTGCTCGGAAACGAGGGTTAGACAAATGCATGGAGGGTGAGGTGATCAGTGGCTACTAGCCAGGATGGCTAAATTCTCCATCTGCTGCTGGAGGCTTTATATGTTTCTGAAAGGCAGGTCTGGGAGTCACAGGTGGGGAGAGTTACTCTTGCTCTCAGGCCCTCCCATGGGCATCTGTGTGGCCTCTATGAGGGCAGGATGCTGGGCTAAATGGGGTCTCACAAAGTCCAGCAGCAGCAGCTTTTTGAACACCTGCTCAGATGGTGAAGCTCACACAGGATGCTTGTTTGTCAGAATGAGTGTGTGTGTGTGTGTGTGTGTGTGTGTGTAGAAAGTAGCTGTATTAAAACCAACTTGCCCTAAGCACAATCACTAACAACCTTTAAAGCAAATACAAGACTGGCCCAGCTGATCTTGCCCCACCAAAAGAAGCCACAGATACTTAGAAACCCTTCAAACTTAAGGCCAAAAGCTTGGGGCAAAAATGGCCCTGAACCCAAAACCAGGCAGAGAGGGTGCCAGGTGAGCCTCTCTGGGGAGAGACTTCTGTATGAAGTTAAAGCTGACATTTGACTGCACCTCCCACTTTTGCCACTAGCTCTGCTCGCCACTGGCAAGTGACTCCAGAAAGGACCATGGCCCTCAGGTTGAAGAGGGCTCCCCATGCCTGCTTTGTATACAGGTCTATACCCCCATCTCTACCCACTCCCAAGATGTCAAGGGATGGTTGCTTGCTCCTTCTTTTCTCCCTGAGCTCCCAGTGAGATTCGATGACTTCCTTGAAGGTGGTGGACCTTCCTTCACTGGGTGTCCCTGTGTCAGGGATACTGTAGCTGTGATCCTCTGGCCTTGCAAGGAGTGGGACTGGATGACTCTTGGGGCCCTTCCAACTCTACAGTTCTTTTAAGGTATAAAGTATCCAACAAAGTTTTGCTCAGAGAAGACTCACTGAAATGGATTCAGCCTATTTATTAACTTCAGTGGGTCTTCTCTGACCAGGACTAGGGAACTGGGTATGTTCAGTACTATTTTGCTAGACAAAGAGGTGCCATAACTGAGTTCTGGCTGGGGGAAAAATGCCCTGATTATGTTTAACCTGGGCAAGAGGGAACTGAGAGGTAATATGATAGCCATCTTTAAATATCTGAAGTTCTCTTACATGGAAGAAGGAGAAAGCTTGTTTTCTGCTGCTCCAGAGGGGAGGATCCCCAACCAACAGATTTAAATCACAAGAAAGGAAATTCTAACATCAGAAAGAACTTACCGGATAGTAAGAGCTGTTCAGCAGTGGAATGGACAAACTTGGAAGATGGTAGCCTCTCTTTCATTGATGGTTTCTAAGCAGAGGTTGGGTGGTCATCTGCCAGGGATTCTTTAGTTGTGATTCCTGCATTGTACGGGGTTGGACTAGATGATGCTTGGGAACCCCTCCAACTCCACAATTCGATGATTGGATGAGTAGCACTGGATGCAACCCATAATCTGGACTTGGAGCTAACCCCACCTCTCCAAAGTCCCCGACCAACCCTTCCCAGCCAAATTGCATCTCATCAGGACTCTTAAGAAGCCAATAAGCATGAAAGGGTATGTGGGTTTTTTTCTTCTTCCCCAGAACTCTTCCTTGGGATGATAACAATGCTGCCTCTTTGTTGACAAGCCCAAAGGAAGATGAAAGGAAGAGAGATAGATGTGGGGCTCGCTGGGATTCTGTGCGCCGCATTCGCTATGGCACCTGTCAGATGCCCAGTGCTTATAATTAATTCAAATTGGCTGGGATGTGGGAGCTGTCATATCGGCACCAGACTAGCTGCAGGGCTATCAACAACAAACAAAAGAAAGAGGGGATGGGGAGAGAACGCCAGCCTCCGTGTGGGTGGGTGGGTGGGTTGGCAGGAATGGAAGATGTCTATAGTCAAGACTGTGGGAGTCGGCACCAGAGCTCTTTTGATGGTGCATTTCTCACTGACAAACCAGGACCGCGTAACTGGAGGTGGGAGGCAGGATGGATGGGCGAGAAAACCCTCATTACGCTGATCACCGAAATAGTACCTGGGCCAGATGGTTGGTGGAGGATGTCAGGGCCACCAGTAGGAGGAGCCTGTGAACCTTTCACTCATGGAAATTGAGATGGGCTGATAACCCACCAACCCCGGTGCTGATGCCAAGAGTCAAGGCCCCTCCCTCTCAATTATTCCACATCGCTGAAGACTCTTATTCTCACATTGCTATGTCATTCTCCATTTACCAGCTGCAGAAGCCTGTCCTCCCTATTGACTTAAAAGCCAACAAGCCAATGGAGGTGCTTTTTAAAAATAATAATAATAATATAGTTTGTTTGTTTATGTTGCAAAGAGCAAACACGAACAATATAGGAAAAAGAAAACCACAACAGCAAAGCATGTCAGTTCATACTACTGCAAGGAAAAGAAGACACCTGTAATCTAAGCCAAAAATAAAATTAAACGAAGAAAAATGCGTTTGGGGGAGAGGAGAGAATATATTGAGAGGGAGGAGGCTCCAGAAAAGCCCACACAGTGAAAATATCATGCAAACAGCTCTAACCAGGAGCCCTAGATTTCTGTGTATTTAGTCTCTATCTTCCCTCCAAGTAGAAGTGACTCTTTCATTTGCTGCAAAGGAAGAAAGGTCCTCCAACCAATAGGGGGAGCTGTTTGATCCTTCCCTAATGTAAAGGCAGACTCTTGGCCACCTATAAAGTGTGCAGGGTCCAGCTGCAATGCCCCACAGTCAGATTCCAGGAGTGTCCAGGATATAATGGGCAGCATGAACATCAGAAGGTTTTTAGGGATGTCAAAGGTATCTTGGGGGAGTCATTGATCTAGATCAGTGTTTCCAAAACTTGGGTCTCCAGCTGTTTTTGGACTACAACTCTCATCATCCCTGACCACTGGTCTTGCTAGCTAGGGATGATGGGAGTTGTGATCCAAAAAACAGCTGGAGACCCAAGCCTGGGAAACACTGATCTAGAGCGAGGGTAGCCAATATGGTGCTTTCCATTAGGCTCTGGCACCCTGGTGTGGCTGGATGAATCTCTGTTTTTGGTCCCTCACACCCCACATCTTCCCCAGCAGTTCCAAGGGGCAGCTCCCAAACTCTGAGCCCCAGCACTCTCCTACACCCCACAAGGTTTCAACAGAACCTCCCCGCAAAGAGAGACTGTGCCATTTGTGTTCTTGGAGCAACATCTGGGCTGAGAATGGGGATTCCCAGAGAGATGCTGAGAATAGATTGACCTAAATGTGCAAATGGATGGAGCCTGGGGAATTAAGAGGACAGATTAAGGTCAGGGCTTCGTGCTGTGTGTGTGTGTGTGTGTGTGTGTGTGTTTGGCTCTGTGTTTTCTTTCACTTAATCTGGGCAATCCTTTACAAGCAAACCCCCACCTTCACTTCGGTGGGACAGTCCTCTGAGTCATAAGAAACAGCCTTCTGCTAAATCAGATGGTGGGTCCATCTGGAGCATATTATCATCATCATCATCATCATCTTCCACACACATGTCTCAAGGCAATGTACAAAATTCAATAAAAGCATCTCAAAAACAATTCAAAGCAACACAGAAAATAAATGCAGATAAATTTAAAATTTAAAATAGGCACCCATGGCAGGGACCTTTTTATCCGAATGGAAAAGCTTGTGGAAATAAAAAGGTTTTCCGTTGTTTCTGGAAAGTGCACATAATGGGTGGGGTGCCTGTCCTATCTCATAGCAGACCCCCCCAAAAAAAATTTAATAAAGATGACTTAGGTCCATTAATTTCAACCCACAGGATTGTGAAGATAAAATGGAGAGGTGAGCAGGAGAACCATATGTGCCAACTTGAGTTCCTTGGAGGAACGGTGGGATATAAATGTGATAATAGTAGATGGAAGGATAGCTCAGTCAGTAAGAGCAGGAGACTCTTAATCTCAGAATCGTGGGTTTGAGCCCCATGTTGGGCAAAAGATTCCTACATTGCAAGGGGGGTGGGTTGGACTAGATGAGCCTTGTGGTCCCTTCCAGCTTTAAAATTCTGTGATTCCATGAAACGGGGCTAGGGGCTGCCAGGAATTTGGCAGAGGCCCAACAGGCCTTGGTGATTGCCTGACAGTGCCAACCCTAGAAGATGGTCCTGCTTGGAGACCTTTGAATCGGAGGCCCAGCAAGGCATCAAGTAAGAAAGATTCTGGGGGCTGCATTACCCACCCACCCCCAATTCTGTTCCTCCCTGGAAGGTCTTGCTTCTGCCTCAAGAACCCCAAGCCAAAATGGAGAATTTAACTGAGAATAAGGTTATGGTTTCCAAAGGAAAGCGAAGGGAACATTAAGATGCATAAGGGAGGGAGGGTGGGTGACGGAGAACAGTGGAGGAAATATTACAATGCCATTATGTAAATCGGCAGATTGCCCTTATCTAAGGCTGCACCATGCTTTGCACCCGTCATGGCATCTAAAAAAGCAGCAGCAGCAGCTAATTGACAAATTGGGGTGAGTTCGGGGAATGGCAGCAGGGTAGATTAAGTGTCTGGAGAAACACCCAGACAATCATATTATTTACCATTTCAATAACGGCTTTCTGAGCAGTGCTGAAACAAACAGCATTTTCCAGTGTGTTTTTTCTTCTTCTTTTCATTATTATTTCAGATTCGAGGAATGCAATTTGCATTTTTCCCACTCGGCTTATTCACACAGTTGCTATTCTGAATAATGCTGGGATCCAAAAGGCAGTGCTGTCATTTCGCTGACTGAGGAGGGCTCAGAATGGCATGCCTTCCTTTCTACTTTTAGAATTAGCTCTGGGAGGAATGTAAGGACATAAGAAGAGCTTGCTGGATCATGCCCATGGCCCATCTAGTCCAGCATCCTATTCTCACAGTGGCCAACCAGATGCCCCAGGCAGATGATTCAGTGGGTCAGGGCTCCCTTATCTTCTTACATTCTCATTCTCCATTGGTCCACTGAATAAATGTGCTTTACTGTGTAAAGCTGCAGGTAAGAGGAAAGTTAGACCAGTCTGGTAGGATGGTTACCTTCACTAAGCCACTGAACAAGCTGGTGTCTCAATTTTTTCAGCCACCAGCTTGCAAGGATGTAAAAAGGCATTGCTTTCCGTTGCACCCCATATGTTCCGCACGCAGCAGCATTTCCGTTCTGCTTCAATTTGGATTCTGCAAAAGCAATGCTATTCGGCTCACCGTTCACTGTGACCGAATTTAATAACATAATGAATTATGTGATTGCTATGTGATTCCACACCATTCTTTTTATGTGAAGGGGAGAAAGGCATCAATGATGTACCGAAATAAATAACGACAGTGAATAGCGGATTTGGGGGGGGGGGAGGAAATGACAAGAGCAGATACCGATCACATCTCCCTACCTGATTTCCGTTCCTGTTTGCAGACAGACACGCAAGCTGATGCAATTTCCGGGACTGCTTCCCATTTTGATGGAATTCTCTGACAACCCTATCAGCTTGACAAGAGTCTGAATTGCTCTATACTAAAAAGCATAGTCCATGGACCTAGTGCGGTGGCAGAGGATACACCTTGGACCAGGAATTGCTTAAGTAGCAGGAAGCAGAGAGTAGGACTAAATGGACAGTTCTCTGAATGGAGAGACTGAGAAAGTGGAGTCCTCCCAAGGATCAGTATTGGGACCCAGGCTTTTTAACTTGTTCATAAAAAATCTAGAGCAGGCATCCCCAAACTTGGTCCTCCAGCTGTTTTGGGACTACAATTCCCATCATCCCTGACCACTGGGCCTGTTAGCTAGGGATGATGGGAGTTGTAGTCCCAAAACAGCTGGAAGGCTGAGTTTGGGGGTGCCTGATCTAGAATTTGGAGTGAGCAATGAGGTGGCCAGGTTTGCTGATGGTACTAAGTTGTCCAGGGTCCTTGGAATGAAAAGAGGATTGTGAAGAGCTCCAAAGTGACTTCTCCAAACTGAATGAATGGGCGGTAAAATGGCAAATGCATTTCAGTGTAAGTGTAGCATGATGCACGTCAAGGAAAAATAAAATCTTAATTTCATATAGACAACATGGGGTCTGAACTGGCAGAGACTGACCAGGAACAAGATCTTGGGGTCATAGTAGTTAGGTTGGGGAATATGTTGGCCCAGTGGGCTTCAGTGGTGAAAAGGGAGAATTCCATGCAAGGAATCATTACGAAAAGAATTGGAAATAAATTCTGCTGATATCCTAATGTCATTGTACAAATCTATGGTGCATCTGCATTTGGAATACTGTGTCCAGTGGTGGTCATAATTTATATCTAGGGCTGGGAAGAACAATAAGCTAAAGAAATGGCTTAATTACCTTGACTCACATTTGCACTCTCATCCATTCCCAGAATCATCTGTTCCAAATATCCAGAGGTGCTGGATTTGATTTATTAGAATTAAAAGATATTAATTTCTATGGTCAGAAGCAATCGTTTGTGAGTGGATGTGATTTGCATATTTGCTTGCTTTGGGGTGTGTGTGTAGAACATTTGAATATTCATCAAGGTATGTTAGAATCCAATATTTTTGTGGCTGCTTAAGAGCTGGGATAGCATTGTAGTGTAATGTGTAATTCTATGCATGTTTACACACAGGTATAATTCACACTGAGTCCAATAGGGTTGACTCCCATGTGAGAATGCATAGGTGGTATAGCCTTACTTCCCAGCAAACGCACCTAGGTTTGCAACCTGAGCTATGGCCAGAAAGTCCTGGGTTCAAATCTTTCTTCTCTACCATGAACACCCTAGGTGGCCTAAGTAAGCTATTTATATCAGCTTCCGCAATAGGTGGAGCAATCGGTCCATTTCAGCTTTTCCCCATTTCTCTTATTTCCCTTCTCTTAAATTCCGTTCCTCACATTTTAAAAAATCATTGTGAAAACTTGCCAGCATTTTAATGCCTATTTCTGCTAATAAGCCCATTTTTTCTGTAAGCAGCTTTGACTAATATACACCTTCTTATGAGCCACAGAGTAGGGCTTGTGCCAGCCCTGCCTGTAAACATCTGGTCATCCACTATGATTAGAGAGTGCTGGGCTGAATTAGCATTGGCTCCTAATTCTGCCCTCATTCTGATTTGTTCAGCGTTCTAAATGCCATAACAAATTGCCCGGGGGCAGTGATTTCATTCAGCCTTACGACCTACTTCGTAGGGTTGTTGTGCAGATGTATGGGAAGTGCTTTGAACATCTGAAAGCAGAGGTGGGAGAGGAGCCTGTGGCCCTCCAGATGTTTCTGGAGCACAGCATTCATTGTCCCTGACTGCTTGTAATTATTTACTGAATTTATATCACACTTTTCCCTCCAAGGAGCTCAAGGTGGTGTAGATGGTTCTCCCCCTCCTCATTTAATCCACAGAAACCCCTGCATGGAAGGTTAGGCTGAGAATCCAACCCTCCACAATGCAGGCATCTCAACAAGGGGTCTCCCATCCGATTTGTTAACCATACTGGACCCTGCTTAGCTTTGCAAATGCGCTAGCAGTTTTTAGTGCTGCACCACTCTCAGGAGCCATGGTCACCCAGTGAGCTACATGGTCAAATGGGGTTTCAAACCCTGGTCTTTCCCAGGTCCTAATCCGACACCCTATGCTGGCTGGGGCAGATGGGAGTTGGAGTCTAGCAGCATTTGGCAGACCACAGGTCCCACCAGCCCTGCTCAAGCACTATATATGTGCAAAATGTTACTGCTGAAACACAGAGGATTCAGCTGGATTGTAATTAAGGCGTTCATCGGAAGCTGTTAAGTGGGAACAACCGAGCTGCTGATTTAATCACAGTTTTTAAAAACATGGATTACTCCTTGGAAGTGATTGGGAGCTGACCCCTCTGAGAGGCTGCGTGGAGCCGATAGCAGCATCTTGATTTAAGACTCCCCTCCCTCCAAAGACTAAATGATTTGTCTGTATTAATTAGTCAAGGAAAACTGTCATCTTAGATACCATCACCTATAGCGAGAGACTGTAATATTTATAGTAATTAGTTAATTAATTAATTTGCTAAAACAGAGACGGTTAATGGATGTGGGGGAAGAGGGGATCCTGCTGCTGATTGACAGTCAGAATGAAGGCTCTCGTGCAACATTTCCGACAAGGCACAAGAGTTTTGGATGAATTCCATACCACTGTGATGACTTGTGATTTATTGAATGGGCTTGTTTTGAAAGCTGCAGTCAGGGTAAGATGGACAAATGGGCATGTCTGAGTTATGCTAGAGCAGCCGTCTAGGCAGTTTATGGAAATCAAGTCATTTGAAGACCTTTATAATGTATTTTTTAAAAATAAAATAAAATCCACAATCAAGGTTTTTGCAGCCTTAGGAGTGTTGACTTTGGAATGATGTTTTTAAGGCTGTTAATTGATGTGCCTTCCCCTTTTATTTTTTGATGTGGCTTTTATGGAACACTTGTAAGCCTCTTTGAAGGACTAGGAGGGAAAGTGATAATATTTGTATTACTTCAGTGGTGCACTCTGAAAGGGGCTGCCCTTGCTCCTGATCTGGAAGCTACAGGTAGTGCAGAATCCTGCGGCACGATTGCTGACACCTGTGCTTGGAGGTCTGCGCTGGTTGCCGATTTGCTACTGGGCCAAGTTCAAGGTGTTATGTAGAAAGCCTTTTAACAACCTGGGACCAGTATACAGTGGTACCTCGGGTTACATACGCTTCAGGTTACAGACTCCACTAACCCAGAAATAGTGCTTCAGGTTAAGAACTTTGCTTCAGGATCAGAACAGAAATCGTGCTCCGGCGGCGCAGCAGCAGCGGGAGGCCCCATTAGCTAAAGTGGTGCTTCAGGTTAAGAACAGTTTCAGGTTAAGAACGGATCTCCGGAATGAATTAAGTGCTTAACCCGAGGTACCACTGTACCTGTGATATCTCCTTAGCCCACCCAGTCACTTCAATTTGAGGAACTGGCACCATTGCAGGTGCCACGTAATACCCATTCCACATTTGTAA